GGTCAATCACAACGCACTGGATAGCTGGCTAATCAGAGCACACCTCGCTTTTCAGACCGATTAGTTTTGTAAAAATCGACGCGTTTCAAAAAGGCGGGGCATAGAGGAGAAACAATAATGTACAGTATGTGGAAAATAATGTGTTTTTTTTACTTTAAACCGCATAAACACATTTCATTACACCAAATACACAAAATAATGTTCTTTTTAGCAGCATCATATGACCCCTTTAAAATATGGAACAGTTATTTTTATATTGGGTGAATACAGTATTACTGTTTCTACTGTATTATTATCATTATCAAATAAATACAGGTTTGGAGATCATAAGAGACTTATTCCAAAAACATTTTAAAAATCTTACAGATCACAAATTTGTGAATAATAATTTACGCTTATGATTTGCATTATTTAAAAAAATGTTTACCTGTAGAATTATCTGTGCTGACCAGTGTCATATGAATACATGGATTCAATTAATGATTTAAAAAATATATGAAAAATAATGGAACACATAGTACTTCGTCAAGTGTAAAACTGTAGACATTAAACAAATTTTAATATTTATCACATCTGTCAGCTGTCATCTAATTGACGTGCATCCTTTTAAAATTTGATCGGTTTTGCGCGTTTTCGGAGGTAACATAAACGCTCGCGACAAGAAGTCACCAAAACACTCGCCATTTTGGACAAGCTTACAACGATCGAACAAGAACACACACGGTTTTTAACGCGTAGACGCAGAGTTGATAAACTTACCTCTCCATCATGAATATCTGTAGGCATTACACCTTAAGAAATACCTGTTGTCGATATTTTCTTTAGCGCATCGTTCAATTTTATCCAGCAACTTGAAAACGGCTCCCTTTACAGGATGTAAAACCCAAACCGGAAATACGTTTATCAAAATAAAAGACACCAGAACCATCTGAACCGTAAAAGGAAGGAAGACAAAAAGAACGAAAGATCAAGGGGGGGAAAACGAATGAACAAGGCAAAAGAGAGAAATGAGAAAAATAATAAATGAGGAAAAGGGAAAGAACTCAACGAGGCAGAGCAAATGGGCTGAATAATGAATGAAATAATGAATGAAACGGGAAAGAAAAATTAAAGAAATTAAAGGAAAAGGAAAACTGAAATCGAAAGAACTAAAAAGATAAGATAAAAAGAGCCAATAAGAGAGAGACAGAACAAATGAAAGGAAAGAAACAAGTAACGAAAAGAACAGAAATTTTGGAAAATTGAACAGAAAGGCAAAAGCAAAAAATAAATAAATATATAAATAAATTACTAATGCTAGATATTGTAAGACAAGATCATATTTCTCAAAGGTTTTACACTTAAAACTGAATGTGTTATTTTAATTCATTGCAGTTATTCCACACATAGTACTTACCAGAACAACAAAACCTTTATATTAAGAGGCTTGTATTCTCCAACAAATGAATTCCTGCTCAGCTGACTAATTTTAAACTCAGTATTGGGTCATTCAGTGTCAAAACCAAATTTTAGAAAATTCCCTGGCTACATTTTTTTTTGTTTTCTGAAGATTTTTTTTTTTTTACACAGAGATTGGTAGGTATATTAGCAAAATCTGCTGACTTTAATAAGCTTTGTTGTATTACATACCAATGGTGACCGTTCAAAATTGGGAAATTTTGAAACCCCCCCAATTATACACATCTTTAGTGGTCAAAAACCAAATGTGGGTAATTTGAATCTTTTAAAGAGGAATGTCTGAAGAACAAACAATGTTGAAGCTAGAAATGTATGATACTAAACCAAATTCAAAAGAGCATTATTTATCCTTTAAAATTGTTTGTTGCACAATAAAAATGTTACATATAAAACAAAAATATACAATCAGAACATGAAATATACAGTATGCATACAGATTCCTTGAGTTTATCCTACTTCCCTTTATCTACCCAGGCAAAAAAATTACACCTAGCCTGAGGATTGGAGGCATGGCCTTGAGGACGAGCGCATACAAAAAACTGCCGGCCTAAATTAGGTCCTGCTTTTTTCACAGTCCGTAAGACACAGGGCTCATTGTGTGATTTACACAGTGGCGGCTGAGGAGGCCCATGCAAAACCGCTTTCCAAAAACCAGCGCATGGCCCCTTCTTACAGTCCTTTGACTTGTCTATGGATGTCGATTCTCCTTCCACTTCATCCTGATTTTCAGTCTCCATCTCTGTTACCAAAGAAAGATTGGTCTCCGTTTGCACATCGCTAGGGCAGCTTCTGACGTCACTCTCACTACCTGGGCTATCCTCAGAGGATTTTGTCTGTTTCGGGCTCAAGTTTCCAATGGAAGGAATCGATGGTGTTTGTTTAGGCTTAAAGAAAGCTAAAAGACTTCCTTTAGCATTGCCTTCAGTTTTCATCTGATTGCTTCTTTTGGCTTTGGATGCATTTGCATCTTTTTCTCTACATGTAGGTCTCTTCTTTGCAACACTGTTTCCCTGTACTACAGGATTCAGGTTTTCCCGAATTTCCCCAGAATCCTGTGATCCAGGTAGACTCTCTTCAGAGACTTTAGAAAACCTATCTTTCTCTGAAACTTTGACAAAGAAGCGTGAGAGTTTCTGCTGTCTGCCAGTGAACTCTGGCATGTGACGTGTGCACAAGGGTGGGCACTTGGGACTAGACCGGACGGTACAGCTGAGCTGCGCCCATACGGGACAATGATCAGATCCCTCCACCTCCGGCATAATGTCCACACCAAAAAAGGCAGACTTCACCAGACAGTGGTCGGCTAAGATGTAGTCAATCCGTGTGCCATAGTTGGTCTGCCTGGCACCCGTAAGCGTGGACCAGCACGTGAAGGCATTGGAGCGCTTTGGATGGAAATGGCGGAAGGAGTCGACAAACTTGCCTCCAGAGGCAGATTTCTGGGAGATGTCTGTAAGTTCATCTTCAGTATTTCCACTTTCAGTCTTTTCTGCCGTTCCAAACAGAAAATGATCCAGCCACTTCCTCCCAGGATTATCTTCAAAGTTATCCTAAATGACAGAACAGTAATAAGAGCAGATATATGCTAGTATGTAACTTGCGCGATAAAACAAATATACCTCTTCCGTGTAAATTTTAGCTTTTGTCCTATCCAGTTGCAACAAGACATTTGCTTGGTTACCTAGTTTCTATTTCTAGTGTGTAACATCGGGTGACTCCGCCCATAATTAAATCTTATTGGTCCATTGGAAATACAGTTCCACATATAAATTATATTAAAGGTCATTCCGTGTCAAATCAACCAAATTTCAGAAACTTCCCCGGCTCAAATTTTTGATTTTGCTAATATTTTTTCTGAAGAAAGACAGACATGTATAGTGATGAAAGCCAAAATATTAAATGTCATTGATGAATATTTACTGAGTAATCCACTAATGGCAATTTTCACCTAAGATTCAGAGCTAATTTACAGGGGGCTAAAAATGACTTCAGAAAGATGGCAGCATCATAATGTTATTTTTACACAGAGATTGGTAGGTCTATTAGTAAAATCTGCTGACTTTAGCAATCTTTGTTGCATTTTGTGCCAATGGAGACCATTCAAAAATGGGGAAACGGCACTTTTCAAGTTTTTACTCCAAAGTTTGCATGTCTGTAACTCAAGAAGTATTAAAGATCTTAATGCCCTTTTAGATATTGGGTCTTAACAAACTTTCCTTTTGGCATCTTCATTTTTAAGGCCCTATAATGTTCGGTTCCAGAGATATTGAAATTTCAATATGGCTCCAGGAGTAAATTGTTAAAATGTACACATTTTCAGTGGTCAAAAACCAAATGTGGGTCAATTTGCAAAAATATGATACTTCTTTTCTTTTAAAGAGGAATGTCTGAAGAACAAATAATGTTGAAACTAGAGATGTATCTCGTTTACTTCTGTCAAAGCAACTGCATTGAACATACCTGTCTGAAAATATTTTTTTTCCAAAGTCCAAAGTTTGCACGCCTATAACTCAAGAAGTATTAAAGATATTGCAATATGATTTTAGATTCTAGTCCTTAATAAACGTTTCTTTTGGGATCTTCATTTTTAAGGCCCTACGTTGTTCAGTCCCAGAGATATGGGGATCTCAATGAAGCTCCATTTTCAGATTGTTGAATATTTTACCTATTTTTAGGGGTTGAAAACCAGGTGTTGGTCACTTTGTATACAGCTAATACTTACTGTATTTAAAGCAGAATGTCTAAAGAATAAGTAATGTTGAAACTAGGAATGTGTCCTGTTTCCTTCTATCAAAACAATTGTAATTGCTAAAGTCAGATTTTTACTAACAGACCTACCAATCTCTGTGTAAAAATAACATTATGATGCTGCCATCTTTCCGAAGTCATTTTTACCCTCTTGTAATTTGGCTCTGAATCTCAGGTGAAAATTGCCATTTTGACCCCCTCTTAAAAAAAGTGGATTACTTTAAATAGTAAATACTATTAAATATTCATCCATGACATTTAATATTTTGGCTTTCATCACTATATATGTCTGTTTTTCTTTAGAAAAAAATATTAGCAAAATCAAAAATTTGAGCCAGGGACCTCTGGTTGAGTTGACATTTTAAATGTTTGTTTTTAACAGTGAAAAAACAACATTACCCATGATTCTGTAATCTCCATCAATCAGATAACTAAAAAAAAAATCTACATCTAATCAACATCTTTAAATCAATACTTTTATATTTCCTCCATCTTTTTTTTATTTGATTCTGATATAGAACCTCAGACACTTTGATCTTCTGAGACGGACAATACACACACAGTGTATTAACATAGACATATGTTTCCACATCTCACTGAGAGAATATGCGGGAAAACGTCTCTCTCACCTATGTATTAGTTCCTTCTCATCCGCTTCCTTCCCCTTCTCCATCCTCCCACCACTTAGCTCACTCAGAATGGTCAATAGTATAATGTTCTACGTGAATGCAAGTATTATTTACAGTCATGTTTGGTATCATTTGAACTGTCTCTATGCGTCTGGTACAATGGTCTCAATCTTACAAGTAGACTAAGGTAATACAGATCCTGAGTTTAGAGATAAGTTGATTACTATCGAGGGTGTGCCCAGTGCCTTTCATGTAAATAACTATATGAACCCAAATGGTGTTAACACGTCTAGGCCTTAATCAATGCAAATCCTAATTGTTAGTTCTTGTCTCCATTTGGAGGATGTTTGTCTTGGTCTGAAGTACTTAAGGAAATGTTGCAAGAGGATCAGGCGATTCTGTAGCCTGAAGAGCCCGTAGTGTGGAGTGTGTCCAATCTGTCCATACACTCCATACTATGTATTTTCTAAAGTCAGGTATGCATCTTTTACTCTTAGATTTATCTTTGAGAGTCTGGTGTCTTGTATTGATTATCTTTGAATTGACTGTAATTGGCATAATACATTTTACCTGACTAATAATACATTGCTACATTTGAATTGATTCCATTTACTCTAAAATTATGAACTCTAGTAGGTTATGTTGTATCTTTGTTACCACATTTCTGCGTCAGGTTAGTAACCGATTAAACGGTACGACAACTGGATTTTTAGAGATCCGGCTAACACTTGGTATTAGTTCAAGTGTACTTAGACTGTAAGGGCTTGAAGGGAATTTCCATTTAGGTCAACTGGATGTTGTTCGACCAACCTAAATAGGGTGAGCCTAACCTCTGTTTATTGTAATATTATTCTATCTAAGTGTACATGGGAAGCCATGAATGGCGTGACCATACCAAAGACACTATCAGGGAAACTTAAAGTAATGTTGGTCGGCTTATCCATATGTGACCCTGGACCACAAAACCAGTCTTAAGTGTCAATTTTTAAAAATTGAGATTTATACATCATCTGAAAGCTGAATAAATAAGCTTTCCATTGATGTATGGTTTGTTATGATAGAACAATATTTGTTCGAGAAACAACTATTTGAATATCTGGAATCTGAG